ACAAACCGTGCGCACGGATTACCAAACCGTGCACACGGATTATTAAACCGTGCGCACGGATTAACAAACCGTGCACACGGATTAACAAACCGTGCACACGGATTAACAAACCGTGCACACGGTTTGGTAATCCGTGCGCACGGTTTACTAATCCGTGCGCACTGTTTGTCAATCCGTGTGCACGGTTTGGTAATCCGTGCGCACGGTTTGTCAATCTGTGTGCACGGTTTGGTAATCCGTGTGCACGGTTTGTTAATCCGTACGCACGGTTTAGTACATGTTTTACCATGTCCCTTCGGGGGCTCCGTACGTATCCCCCTTGCGGACGGGACGCCAAATTAAGTAATAATGAACAAGCCCCCTGTGGATTCATACATTTGTCATCACCAGGTTGCCCCATATAATAATACCATCTGACTTCTAAAACACGCTGTTGATAGAGAATTTGAACCGAAACTTTAATTTTCTTTCCAGTACACAAAAAAAAATCTTTGGGCCATACTTAAAATATGCTTTTTCTTCTTATTAATTAAACATAAAAATAATCCTCAGAACACGGGAAATCGCTTCTGAGACGTTCTAGAAATCACATTTTTTTTGGGGGGATCCCCCAAACCCCCCTTAAGGGGAGGGGTGTGTACCCTCCCCCTCCTCGCGCTACGCGCTCGGGCTGCTGCCTTTCGCAGCACACCGTTGACTATTGAGAAAAAATTATCGGCCCCCCCTTTTAGGAAATCCTGGATCCGCCCCTGAATTCCGGGGTTGATATACCAATATGGTGTTAGTCCCAGAAAGGAAAGAAGTTTAGAAGCAGCTCTGTGGCTTAATTAAGAGTGTTTTTGAGGGGGATCTAAGTAATAGCAGAGACGTATATATTACATGTAGATGTGATATTTTATTGTTTCTATTAGTTATGATTGTTACAATAGTCGTAAGAATAGCTCTTCTGAGCTAAAGTTGCATTGTTACAAACACGACTCTAAATGAAAATTCTTGTATCTTGTGTATACGTCTCGGGGAAGGGGTGGAGTTGGGGGCACGGGCAATACCAACATTTATCCCGTTTTAATTCACGTAATGTTGAAAATTGGTTTTTCCTTGCGTAATGAATGTCGGATTTTTTTTTTAAATTTTAACTAGAATATGTATTGTCCTCCCAAACATGGATTCATTCAAGAAACAAGCTCTGGTTTAACACGGGACGTTCCGGCGCTTAACTTATATTTCCTACGTTGAGGTTAAGTTGATATAGTTGATATAGTTGATATAGTAGTAGACACCAATGGAAAGCTCAGCTAGCATCTTGCGGCGCATTGAAATATTCCTATGCTGATACCTGACTTCCGGTGCGTATTGATATAGGGGAAATAATATCAAGAAATCTTACAGTGGGTTTAAACAATACTAAATATCCCGACAGGAGCTTGCTAGTAGCAAGAAGCATTGAATTTACACAGAACTTATTGAATCTGTGTTTAAACTATTTACACTTGGAGCATTTACCAAATGGTTTGACAGACTATTCTAGCACTCCACGTACAACACTGTTGCTGAAGCTGTTGCTGCTGATTTGCCTGTTGGTTCTCTTTTTGAATAGTTTTTTGTTGTTCCCTCTTGTTCTGGTTTCCTCAGTTTAAATGAACATTTTGCTGTGATCTACAGTGTCTGTTCCCTCTAGGATCTTGAATGTTTGGATCAGGTCTTCTATACTCTAGAGTTGGTAGTCCTAGGTGGCGCAAACACTCCTCGATCCAGTTAGGGGTTTCGCCTAATAGCCCTTTCACGCCGAAACTTGAACGTTTATGTAGTAGCCTTCTATAGGACACTTTGTCAAATGCTTTGTTATACACTAGGTACACTACGTCGGTTGTCTCCCCTTTGTCTAGTCCTTCAATCCAATCTGTACATGATCTACCCGATCTAAAACCATGTTGGCAGTTTGTAAGGAAGTTGTTTGTTTCTATGTGTTCGAGTAGTTTGTCCCTGATGATTTGTTGTAGAATTTTGCTGGCCACCGCAGTTAGACTAATTGGACGATAGTTGTTGGGTTTCTTTTTAGAGCCACTTTTATGTTATGCATTGGCCTCCTTCCACGAGCTAGGTAGTTTCCCTTCTTGGAGCGATTCTTAATTTCAGATACTGCCTCAATGTATAACTTGGGATGTAAACCATCAGGCCCAGGACTTTTACATTGCTTTTTTACAAGCTCTTCAGTTATTTCAATTCTGTCCAATGGTGTAGTTGGTGTTTTCGTAGGAATATTGGGGAGTTCTCCCGTCACGTCTTTAACAAAAACTGATGAAAAGCTTATTGGTCAGATTGCAGCTGCTCTCCATTCATTTTTTCGAGCCTGTTTATGGATGATTTTTATTTTATTTCATATTTCACATACTTCCAGAATTGTATTTTTAATCTCATCAGCTAGTTTGCGTTCGTGTACATAGTTCGATCGCCTTATGTTTGCCGTTGCCTCTTGCTTGCTTAACTTGGTTGAAGTTTTCAGCAGTTTTACAGTGGAGGAATTTTTTCCTTTTTTTTTATGTTTCCTGTGGATTGATTCAATGGTCTGGTGATCAAGTGGTCTCTCTTGGAGTTTCGTCGGAATTGCTTGTTTTCTGGTACGTGTTTCTTTATGATATTTGATAGGTTATCAACAAAACAGTTCCAAGTTTCCTCCGTGTTGAGACAGTTGTCAAATTAAATAAATAAATATACAACATTTGATATAGCGCCCTATCTAGCTAACATAAGCCACTCTAAAGCGCTTTGCAGTACATAGAAATACAATTATTTTTATACACTCAATACAATTAGCATATACATTAATCAATACAATATTGAGGAATTCGCAGGAGCTGTCTTATCATGTGGTAACTACTAGTCCTATGCCACCTGGCTAATATCCCCCATGTATGTATGCCTCTGTGTGTGCTGGAGATGTACTGTGTCATTAATTTAGACTAATCAGCTTGTATAAGATCCTCTTTAATTGCCGTATAGCTTCCTTAGGGAAGTTTCTGGTTTGTTCATTTGATGGCTCACTTTCGACG